TAGGCCGAAATATGGTATTCTGAAATCCGAAATTATTCAAAATGTCACTTTTCACGATTCACAAGTGCATAAAAAAGTCCAGCAAATTTCAAACGGCCATATCTCAAAAACGACATGGAGTATGACTTTCAAATTTTGCATGTGTTCATATGAGCAACATATCATCATTCTGACCAAATTTAATTAAAATCTGAGGGGGTCACCTGGGGATTTGTTCTGAAACTGGTTGATTTGACATGGAATCACCCACATAGGAATTTCACACAACCCCGATTTTACGTACGAATGATTTTTACGAACACCTTTGGGCCCGTCCCGTACGTAAATGAGGGTTCTACTGTAATTACAAAACTGTTACATGCGTGCGTAAAACCTGGCCACCTCCCGGCAAATGTGGGGCATCGTTTTAGTACATCCCAGGCTAAGTCCCCACTACCTACCACCAGGAAATATTTTATGGTTCTGGTAAAATCCCAGTGGCTGATTAAAGGTGGCCAATCTGATCTAAATTTCCAGTTCATCTTGTCAACCCTGAAAATCAAGCATCGGGCAGCATGCGTGCCAATCAGAACACAGTAAAGTGTGTTAAAGGTTAACCTTGTGGCAAGTGTTAAAAAGCTGTAAGCGACAGTGAGTAAAAAAACAAAAATGCGGTCCAGCATGACAAGCCTTAATTTGGCACGGTAATGATTAGTAGTGGTAGTGACGCGGTTTTAAAACATGATCGATCTATATTGTTTATTAGTAAATTGCAACATTGCTCACATGTTGAAAGCTGGTAAACTATTTCAATGTTGCTTATGCATTGTTTATCAGTCCGACGATCCAGCCTATGATCATTGCAAAGCTAATTAAAATAAGTGACCTTCATAGTGGTTCGTAGCTAGATTACGAGTGGTTACGTCTGCACGTAACCACACCATACAAAGCGATAATTCATGGCTATACTGACACACTGTTGTCGTCTGTAGTTAACTCAGTAAGAGCGAGTTTTTCCAGTGGAGCTGCATGATGGTACTTTACCATCAGGTAGGGGGCACCAGTTTAAAAATCAAATAAAGTTACAAACTCAAACAAATGCTTGAACATGCGTCACAGAGACGCAGCATGCGTTTGATACGAATGCCTTTTAGTCTTTTGGTGGACACCCTCTCGATCGTGTTAGTACTTTTCGAGATACATGCTAGTTATACTGCTTAGTTTGATCATTTTAAAAATCTTTCTATAACTATAACTTATTTTTTCTCTTCAGTTGAGAGCTGATGTTGTACCAAAAACAGCTGGTAAGTGTAATTCAAATTCTGTAGCCAAAATACTAAATGCTACTGTTCATTTAAGAACGCAAAGTCCCAGCTTTTGACTGCACCCGTGCCCGAACATCGTTCCTCTTTTTTTTTTTGTAATTAAATTGTAATCTGTACAGTAATAGGCATGACACTAACTAGATGATGATGACTGCGATTAAGACAAACAAAAGGTCTCTATGTCCATGATTTTGTGTTCTTAAGACTGTTTAATATTTTGATGCTTTAATTTTGTTGCAGAAAACTTTCGTGCTCTGTGCACTGGAGAGAAGGGGTTTGGCTACAAAGGAAGCTCTTTCCACAGAGTTATTCAAGACTTCATGTGTCAAGGAGGAGATTTCACCCGTGGAAATGGAACTGGTGGTAAAAGCATTTATGGAGAAAAATTTGCAGATGAAAACTTCAGTCTAAAACACACTGGGCCAGGTAAGTCATTGTTAAAATCATGGAGGAATTAGCTTAGGAGGAGATACAACCAGCAAAGATCAAAGGTGCAGACCTCTTTGCCACAATCGCAAATATCTTACTATTACGTAACATACTTGACAGCTAGATAAGCTGAAATCGGCAATCACGCATGCGCCAGTGGGTCTTACAAACAAACCACTAGCAAAGCTTAGCAACGTACCGCGAGAGAGATCGAGATGTAAATACATATGGATAAATAACTCGATTTCTATGAAATAGAAGATGAGTTGAACCATGAAATTTCCAAGGAATTGGAGCCGGCATACAAACTAGCAGACCAAGAAAATGGTGATGTTTTTAAGTGACATGTAATTTGTGTATTTTATGAGTATGGAAGCAGGGTAAGTGTATTATAAATTAGGCCTTTAGAGCCTAGGCTAGGCCCACCACACACGTCACCGGCAGGCCTAGTCCATATTTAAAATACAGAATATATTATTAATAACTATGTAGGTCTAGCCTAGGTTTGTATTTTATATGTATGCAGGCTACATTTTTATGCACTTTTGTTTTTATTTATTATACTTCCTCAAAATCTATTAATATCATATTCATATTTATCATCATGTCATATCATATTTATTCATTTATTAGTTCCTATGCAATAGGAACTATTGTAATCACTCTGTCACATTTCTTTTGTTTTTTATTGTGTGTAGTATGTGTGTGCGTATGTGTGTAGACATTTATGCAAATGCGCATGCGTCAAAGAAAAGTTTTCCGACATTTTGTTTTACATCGTGATGCGAAGTTCGATGTGGATTTTCTGCAGAGTTCAGTCAGGGCTCACGCTAACCGATCGGAAAGTCGGCATGCATGAAACTATTTTGGTTTTACGGCAAAAAAATCAACTGCTGTGGCATAGGTATTTTGAAGAAGGCCTAAAATAAAACAAAAAGGTTTTAATACTTGCTAAAATACATCGTTTTTTCATTTAGATCTCCATT